TATTCATTTGAAGTCCCACTTTGTGTAATACCGTTTCACACATAATTTATCCGAATTCGAAAAAAGTATTAAACATTTCATTTAAGAAACTGAAAATGACCATAATACCTCAATAAAAAAGTAAGGTAATAAAAAACAAATCAGAGCACTGTATGCCCCCCTAGATACAATGAAACTTTTGTTTGAAACATTTTTTCGTACAACAAATAACTTACGAGTTATTTGAAGTCGTCATGTTAGGAGACTGTATATAGCATATACAGGGTGTCCCAGAACTAGTGCCAGGCTTTCAAATGGGGAGGAGCTAAGGTGATTTCAAACAATATTTTTGTTTGTAAAAATGAGGCCCGAGGCGTGTTTATCGAGTTGTTAACAAAATCCCCAACCAATCAAAGGTGGGCAAGGGAGCGACAACTGCTCGTAACGAGAACGTAGGATGAAACCAAAGTCACGTGCAAAAGCAAATAAGAAATTGACTAAATATCAGAGAAAACGAAGCAGAGTAAATCAAACATTAAAGTAGTCGTCAGTTACGTTCACTGAATAAATGTAACGTACAAATAACTAACAATTGTATATATTACGGAAAAATGGGTATAAAATTTATTTATTTATTTCTATCTATCACACGGGTTACATGAACCCATTTTACATTATATATTAATAATAGGCGCGAGCAGTATACAATCAATCATAGTACACAAAGAAAAGTAAACGAAGAAACAAGAGGGAAAACACAATTAAAAACTCTAACGAAAGAAAAGAAGGAAACAGAGCAAAATATATCAGTGTACTAAGTGTAGTAGGTATCAAGCAGTGTATTAAGAAAGTAGATATAAAGCTTACGCCTAATGACAGTTCCAGCGTCACTGAAAATATCAAACAAGTGGTATAGTTTGTTCGTTTTGGAGGCTATTCTAACCATTACATCTGCACATCCAAATCTAGATGTATATATTTCAATAAAAAAAGCTTTGAAAGGCTGTAAGGATCGAGTTGGAGCGTTTAGCTTAACTTGAGCCAGCAAAGTAAGAGAATCAATACAATGATTAA